GTCCGCTCCGACAGCTTCTGGCGTTTTTAAAAAGTATCCCAGGGGCACGGTAAGGGTCGGAGATGTTTAGTCTATTTAATTTCTGACTATATAAAACGATTTCTTCGGTTTTAAAGTGTGAAGTAAACTCAGACGAAGTAAAATCCAAGCCGATCCCGTTCATGTTCATGTTTACGATCAGTGTTTGTTTACCTTTTTTTCCTGCCAATATGGCGTCCACTAACTGAGAGTCACGTGGGGTCCGGAGCTCTATACTGCACTTTTGCAAAATGCTTTAAATGTGACCTTTGTTGTAATTTAATTTAACTTAAATTGTGTCTGTTCTTGTTGCAGTCCCCAACCCCTTCCATAGAATCGCTCACTTTTCATTTTTTAACTCCCATAAACGACATTGAGAAAAGGTCGAGACCACTCCTAGATTCCCACAATGCATCCTCGACTATTTTTTTAAGGAAATGTCTGTGTTACACGCGTTGGACATGTATCGGTTTCCAGAGACTCGACAGTGTAACCGTTCGAGTCAAACGTGGAAAACGTTTGCGAATGTTTTGGGACATTTTAGAATTCTCTTAGAAAATTTTTATTGTGCCCAGAAATGACAGCCAAGTGAGTGCAGGCTTTACATTCTCCTGCAATGCCCTGGTCCTGTAGAATGAGCCCTGGCATTTTTACTGTGATTCCTGTTTTTCTGTAAAATCACAGAAAAAGAGAGATGCTCGGGTCGAGCAGGCTGCTTCATGCGCGTTCACGCTCAGGCATAGCCCATAGCATTTGCTATCCGTAGCTTTAGCAGCAGAGAGAGGCAGTGCCACTTTGTCGCTGTTCCTAACGCCTAGTGACAAAGCTAGCTACGTTTCTGAGGACCCTTAGCTAATTTCTGTAGAACTTTCTTCTAGATATTTCCTGCAAATTAGCAACAAAATTGCCATTTTCGCTCCGAACCGTTCTTTGAACGTTGTTTCAGCTGTGATCAAGGATATAAATGTTACAGATACAAAGGACGTCACTGGCGCTTTAGCTCACTTAGTAAGATGTCTGACTCTCATGCAGAAAACCTGGGTTCAATTCTGGGTGTGAACATCGTTTATTTAGAGTTTCTTTTTTACATTAATGGTATATTTTTTTATAGTAAGATGCCCAAATTTTTATTTGAGACTCGCCAAACGGCATTGAATTCACAGATAAGATGTGGGTTCAACTTTCATTTTGGAACAATTTTTCAAGCAAGGGAAGGGAACAATCTGAGCATGCATGAGGACTGACCCATCTTAAACCTTTGTCGGCTGTGCTGAAGAGAAAGGTACAGAACCAAATTATTTAATGAATTAGCTGCGTGTTCTCCTGTCCTCTGTCTCTCCCCCCCCCCTCCCCTCCACACACACACACACACACAAGGGACTGTCTCAGCTGTTATTTTTGTTAAGGAGTGTGCACGTACAGCATGCGTGCCTCATGCACGAGCCTACTATTGAAGCTGCCGTTACGCTTTTGGCCTGAGGGGGCAATCGCGAGCAAAAAAATTCAAAACTCCGTAAAGTCCCTTTAACAAGTTTCTGAGATGGAATGAATGTTATGAAAAATGCTCTAGGAAACCGATGTTTGATGAGATAAGAAAAAAAAACATCATGTAGATACTTGAGTCATGAATTAAAAGCATTACCTTGTCTAGGCAGAACATTTATGGATACAGGATGTTGTGTGGACCTTTTTTTGGATTCAAGGAGTAATTACAAGCTTTTAAAGGGCTGGGTAGAAACTCGTAGGACCCCCTTTAATCCTGATATTGAATCTGTCAGTGGTGGGATCTCCTTCAGGGAAAGGGCCATGTGGTTGGAATTACAGAAACAACCCCACCCTGAAGGAAATGTATGGATGTGTTTAAGTGCTGCAGCTCCTCAAGACAAAAAATATACAATAAAAGGGCTTGCATCTTCTACGCAACCACAAAATGAAAGTTTGCCAGCTAATTAAACCATCAGAAGCTTTTATCCCTTTCTGGTTTGTAAAATGCTTGATACTTTTATTCAGGGCAGAGCCTGTAACGATCAGTCTTTTTGTTTAAATCTTCCTTTGGTTGCAACAGCGTTTTAAATTAATCGTATGCAAAAGTTTAAAAAAATTCAATCGTTTTTGTTCACGTAAATTTTTTCTCCTTTTTAAAAATATTTTACACTATATTGTTGATTAAAAAAACAGTTTTCCAATATGTCGCCACCTTTTTGTGTCCAATTTTTTTCTGGTGTTGCCAGATGAGGATAACAAATGAGATGGGTCCCACCAGAACAGAAGCCCTCCATGGGAACAGCTCCTGTCTGTTATTCCAGCTGCATGACATTCTTTTCCAAGGCAGCTGTCCAGGACTGTACGGCTCTCCACCGTGGTCCGTTCATGACTGCACCAGCATGGCTCGCCACTGATGTCTGTTACTCCAGCCTGCCACAGATAAACCGTTTCACACAGGCCTTTCATTGGACCAACATTCAAAACCTAAACATGGAAAAACACCTCACCTTATCGTGTGTTTTATCAGCTAGCCACAACATGTGATTTGGGAATCTTTCAGAATTCTTAAGGCAGCGTTACATGCTAGTTTCTCCAAATGGCAGGGAAAAGCAGCTGTTGCAATGCTTTGAACTTTTAATAACCCAGAAGTTGTGGAAAGTGGCATAACTAACCTCTTCTAACAACAGCCTCTTATGGAAAGTGGTTGTTTGAAGAGTTGAAGACTGGCACCATTTCCTGCTCTTTTGTCTTCCACAGCTGAAGGAAGTGAATTTAATTTGCATCTAGATTTTATCCTTTAATCTGGTTGTAGTTGGCCCAAACAGTTTGAGTGATAACTCCTAAATCTATAGATATGTTAACATTTGTTCTTTTGGCATATAAAGTCCTTCTGTTGTGCTATGGAAGGAAGTATGGCGTGTTGATGCACTGGTATCCGGCAGCAGGGCTTGACTCACCTCTGCAGTTAAGAACACGAACGACTGACAGATGACACTTGTTTTGCCAACATCTGCTTAAACACCTGCAGGGTCTGAATCAGGTTGAAGACATCTGTTCCCCTTTGAGAACGTCTGAATTTTATTACAAATAAAAACTGACGGATTAAATTGGGTGGTGTGACCTCAGTCTCCTTTATCCTCATTGCATTCTTAGTGTTTTAGATTCGGATTGTTTTTCTTCTAATTCTAACGGTTCCTGATTCGTTCCATTATTGTTTGTGTCTGGATGAAATCCTGCGTTTAAAGAGCAAATTGCAGGTTCGAGACTCCCATGAACCAATGTTTAGAGAAACATAATAGAAACTCGTTTTAAATGTTTTTTTTACACAAGCATGAATTATTGAGGCTTTTAGAGCCATTTTTGTGAGAGTTTTTTTATTGGCCAAACCAAGTGACGTCTGAGGGAGTCCTGTTAGCTTAATCCACAGAAAAACATGGATTGTAATGCCAGCTCTGACACAGAGGAAACTTTAAATGTTTATAATTATACTTCTGATGGACCAAAACCATAAAGTTATGAGTTTGCTGCTCGCCCCAGAGAGCAGAGACCAACCAGAGGGAGAAACCATCGGCCAAAGCAGAGAGATTAAGGAGAAGTAGCGGGGGAGCAGCAGGTGTCTGGTGAGTTAACCATGTTAGCTTAAACTCATGCTAACATCACAGTATTGTACTGATTACTATCGTGTACCAGACAATTAAAATAGTATCGGCCAGTTAATATAATATTAATACTAATAAGCGTCTTGTCAGCGGTCTCATACTCGCTAACATCCATTCACGCAACGTAGTTTAGCTCTTAGAGAGAGGGAGAGACCTGTCATCCGGTTCTGGAGCCCATGCGGGTTTCTGTGAGCTGGATTTGACCCAAACACGAGCGAGACAGTTGAGCTGGTATTTTTAAAAGCCGCGCGTCCTCTCCTGGTGGTCCAGGCGGCGGTTCTGATCTGGTTCCGACCCAGAAACCAGCTGGCCCACTGAGCTGCGCTTCTCTTCTGGTGGTCGGTTCTGACCTGATTCTGACAAAGATCTGAGCTCCAGAAATTTACATCTAATTTTTTAAACCCCGCCTCGGGTCTGCGGAGCCCAGCGCGGACCTCTCTGTCCCGGTACCGACCAATGTGGGCTACAGAAGTCCATGTTTTCAGCTGCAGAAACACCCTCAGGCACGGAGATAGAGGCGTTTCTCTGATCTGGAAACCTGTGGACTCGATGTCCAGACAGGCTGGAGTTGGTACAGCCTTCACAGATTCTAGTTTATCAACATGAACACAATCCAACACGAGTAAACACACACTGACTGGATCACATGACCTCTCTACCCTAAAACTAGCCGCTCTCCACACTGAGCTGAGGCAGCCGAGCTTCTAACTCCCTTTGGTTACGTCAGAGGTTCAGATTTAGAAAAAAGCTTTGCTGAGAAAGGTCCGGTTCTACTAGAAAAACTCTGCTGTTACGTATTTTAAAATGAAATATCTACGATAAGCTTTTTAAATAGTATTTTTTGGACAGCATTTTATATGAATTATAAAAAAAAATTTTAACCTGCAGTTTGCTCTTTAAGATGAGTTACTTTGAAGGAATGTGCCGGTTTGATGAGTGGAAATGAGATTTCTTACACAATTTTATGGCATTGCATGTCTGTCATATTGTATGTCAGTGTTGCAGTTTAGGAATGTTATGGAAGCTGGATTTTGTTAGTCAGCAATTAGCTGCAATGCACGGTGCTGTAAATTGTGTGGGAGTGTCGGAACTTGTTTAGATTAAAATCCTCTGGATGTTTTTCCTGCTGTCTCTTTATCTGCTGAAGTGAATTCTGGGAAGTAGGTTACATGGACTGAAAAAAAATTCATTCTATTTTTTTCTGGCATTTTTTAAATTTATTTTTTGGTCTTCAAGTCTTCATCCACCTTAGCATTATTTTCTTCCTGTGGGGGGGGGGGGGGGGGGTAGTGAACTGGGCGTCGGCCACTATTCGGCTGCATCCTATTAAGACTGGGAGTGTTGAAAAGGGGTGTGGCTTGAAGCGAGTAACATCTGTGCTGGTCCCCTTTGCCCTCACAGCATTCTGCAGAGAAAGGGAGATGTAGAAGGTCTTCCTGAGAAGTTCTTGGCGAGAAGCTGGCCGATTAGTAAGATCCCAAACAGCTGTTGTCTGTATGATGGTTTATCTCTCATTCGCCCCTGCAGCCATCAAAGAGCAGCCTCCATGTAGCTGGGATTTTCCTCTCGGATGATTTTGACAGCCTCTGGAACGGTGCTTATTAGCTACTTCGACCCCAAACAGCGTGGCTTTCATACCTTGTGCTGGAAATGCTCTGCTGCGTGGTGTGTAAAAGTTTTTTTTTTCTGTCAGGCGTGCAGAAAGCTGAGTTCTGCAGCGAGCTGATGATATAAAGGGAATGCCCAGAGCCCAACGGAGACGCGCTCTCTCCAGGACAGGGTAAGACGAGCTCTATAAATCTGTCCATTATACCCTATAATCAAATGAGTGCAAGGAAACTGAGTGCAGGAGCTGAAGCCGGCTATCTGTGAGTGGAATGTCTGTGTGTATGCGGACTGCATGTGACCAGCAGATAGTTAGAGGCTATCAGAGAGGAGTTGTGGCTGCTGGTTTGATTTATCGCTCCTCATAACACAAGCTGGATTCCTCTTCCCAATACGTAGATGATTGTGTCATGTCGATCTAATTAGGAGGTGCTGGTGCAGGGAGCGGTGTTACTGTAGTAACCGGGGGTAGGAGGTGGGGGAGGATGACACGGCGCTTCGATCAAGCCCCGGGGCTGACATCTTAGTGGGAGAGTTGTCCTCTGTATGTAGGGAATGCCCCGTAATGACAAGGCTGCTGTGGTGACGGGGTGAAGTGATGGTAGAAATATGAGTTCCCCCCCCCCCTCCTCTTTCTCTTGCACACACACACACACACACACACACACACACACACACACACACACACACACACACACACACACACACACACACACACACACACACACAACAGGCTACAAGCTGCTACCTCCCACCAGCTCCTCTCTCTGATTTAGCGAATGCAGCCCATTATCGGTGTCATGTGAGTGATAGAGAGAGGCAACAGCACTTGTTTCCATGATGAGGGGAGTGGGTGCAAATAATCATTGTCAACGAGAGAGAGAAAGTCACCTTGAGCTGAGGTGGGTCTGCTCGTTCTCCTCACTTACTTCCTGCTCCTGCTCATCCTTCTCAGGTTCCGCTCTTGCAGGAGCTGCTCTCCGGAGGCTAACACGCGCTACATGGCGTGCATCACTACAGACTTAACAGCTATTCTTTGTAATTCTGCTGGATCTAGATTTTTTAGCCTATAATCTTTGATGGCTTCATTACTTGTTTTTGTCTGCTGAATTAGAGAGGCAATCCTATTTTCATTGCCTTTAAGCTTGCAGCACAGATTAAAAAGGAGGCTAATGTGCATTCGAAGGGGTTTACATTAAATCACCCAACCACCCAGCTTCCACCAGTCCCCCACTGCTCGGGTTGCCATAGCAACAAAGGAAGATACTGGGATTTTTAAAGTACAAGCTGCCACTCGGTAATAAGACAGTACTACGATGTGCTTCTATGATCGAGTAGTCTGTGGGGTTTATATTTTATTAATGAAGAATACATATGTTAATGGTGTTAGATGGTGAGCAGCTGTGCACAAAATAGTGTTTATTGTTATTTCTGCGGAGCGGGCGCCGGGCGGAGAGTCGTTCAGTCATTTAACGTTCAAAATGAATCTGTTGGTGACAGCAGACATCCCAGATACTATTGACTAAATGATGATACTGGTAACATTCCATGAGTTATTGATCCTCAAAGCTTATTTTGACAATTATATGCTGATGTGTTAATTCAGACTTGCTTAAATAGGAAGAAGAAGAACATTTAGGATATTTAGATGGCATAGGCTTACAATATTTGTGTCCAACATTGTTTCAGCTTTTTTTAGTCAAAAAGTTAGTTTACTAATTCAGGTCATTTTTATTCATTAAACCAAGTTGTTGTATTTCTCGTTGTTTTCGATACCTGGCCTGAAAAGAGTAAACAAAAAGTTAAATTTAAACTCTCCTTTCAAGTGTTTTTCTTCTTTGCCCCAAGTCTAACCTCCTCTTGAGAGTCTGACCTGTGGAAGAATGCTAACACGAGTGGGGGGTTGGAGAATCTCTCTGCAGAACAAGTCTGACAGCCTTGTCTGTGAGGAGAACGTCTTTTAACCTGCGTTTTAATCTTTGTCCTCACATTTTACAGCCTCACTCCCTGGTCCTAAATATTGTAGAGCTTCATGCATGCCGTTTTGTTTTCTTTTATGAACAATATTGTTTAATCCCCGGGCGTTTCAGAGTTTGTCTGGTGTGTGAGAATAATGGCCTTATTTCAGAAATTTGTTTGGGAGAAAAGCTGTATTTTTAACACCATAGAGAAAATATAAAAAAATAACCCATCTGTGATAGCTTCTTCTACATCACTTATTTAAAACGCCATTTTTAAACAAACATTTGCTGCTAAAAGGACTCCATGCTTAGAAAGTAAACATAGTACACATCAACATGACTGAAAAACACCTGTCTATCAGCGCTAGAGTTGTTCAGCCCTTTGAGTACATAAAGCTGTAGCGAGCTAGACAAAACATGCCAGCTGATGAGATTATAACAGTGTGTCTCTTCATCATTCAGTTATACACCGAACCATGAGCACAGAGCACTAATCAGCTCCCATCTTTTACCTCTTTCTCTTTGATACCTTTTGATCAGATTGTTTCCTGTTAAAAAGGCCAGTTTTAAGATCATGTCAGATATTATGATCACAATAACGCATGTAGAGATAGGTGTGAAGATCATGAGATGTTCTAATAAAGAAAGCACTATTTTCTGTAAAAATGGGATTTAACTTTTGTTAATGGAATTTACAAAGATGGTTAAAACTATTGGAAGAGATTATTAAATCATATTTGATTTTATTAACCTTCACTAAATGTTTTACAGTGTGGTCACAGGGTAAGTTTGTCAGTTAGTCACAACTTCAAAGTCCTGAATGAACAGAGCTTTCATGACCCAAAGCGATGGAGGTAAAATGTATCTGCCGGTGAAAGGAATTTTTCCTTTGTCTGTTCCTGTGCAGCGATCCCCCTCTCTTTACTCATAGTGCATCTCATATGGTAATCCTGTAATCTGATAGCCACTTCAGCTCCGCTCCCTCAGCCATGTGACACTAACGCCCCAGAGGCAGTGCCTGTGTCATGTCAATGCACACCGTTCAAAAGCACACGATAGCCAAACAGATCTGCAATGGTGACGCTCCTCCGACACCATGGACAGTTCTGGCTGCCAACGAGAAAAGATAGATTATAATCTCATCTGTACCTGCCAGTCAGCCTAGCTGTCACGGTCCAGTTATTTTCTGATAAGTCTGCTTGTGTTTACTCATTGTGTACTCAGCCTACCATTAACTAATCAACAGAATGTTGGCTATGTGGTATCAGTTCCATCCATTTTCATCTGCTTATCCGGAGTCGGGTCGCTGGGGCAGTAGCCAAAGGCGAGAGGCCCAAACTTCCCTCTCCCCAGCCACTTGGTCCAGCTCCTCCGGGGGAATCCCAAGGCGTTCTCTGGCCAGGTGAGAGATATAGTCCCTCCACCGTGTCCTGGGTCTTCCTTTAGTTCTCCTCCCGGGTGGACGTGCCCGGAAAACCTCACCAGGGAGGCGTCAAGGGGGCATCCTAACCAGATGCCCGAGCCACCTCAACTGGCTCCTCTCGATGTGGAGGAGTAGCGGGTCTACTCCGAGCCCCTCCCGAATGACTGAGCTTCTCACCCTATCTCTAAGGGAGAGCCCAGCCACTCTTTGGAGAAAATTCATTTCGGCCGCTTGTATCCGCGATCTCGTTCTTTCTGTCACTACCCAAAGCTCATGACCATAGGTGAGAGTAGGAACGTCGATCAACCGTTAAATCGAGAGCTTCGCCTTGCAGCTCAGCTCTCTCTTCACCACGACAGGCCGGTACAACTCCATGCTTTCGTTCTTTTTTAAACACAGAAACAGTTTTGTTTACCTGTTTTGTAGCTACAGTTTCGCCGACAGCTGCCGGCTTCTTCAGGCTGACGCTGATGGTGGCGCGTCACTTTCTTCTCCGTTTATCTGCGGGCAGCAGAGAACGTTGTCGCCCTCTACTGCCCGCTCTCCCCTCTCCGACGATGCAGTCCCATGCGTGGTCCAGCGTGTAAACTCCGTCGTCCCTGTTCATGGTCCCACATCCACGTCTCCTTATCTCGATTGCTTCCTTGATCCATCTTTTGTATTTTTGTTGTTCAGTGGTTATGATTCGTGTGCTGTCCCAGTCCATTATATGGTTTTCTCTTATGCAATGATCTGTTACGGCTGACTTCTTTATTGTACTTTCTGCTTCTTCTTTTGCTGCTCTTGTGTGTTTTCGAACACAGAAAGGAGTGCGAGAAAGAGGCAAATCGTAAACACACAAGAGCAGCAAAAGAAGAATCAGAAAGTACAATAAAAAAGTCAGCCGTAACAGATCACTGCATAAGAGAAAACCATATAATGGACTGGGACAGCACACGGATCATAACCACTGAACAACAAAAATACAAAAGATGGATCAAGGAAGCAATCGAGATAAGGAGACGTGGATGTGGGACCATGAACAGGGACGACGGAGTTTACATGCTGGACCACGCATGGGACTGCATCGTTGGAGAGGGGAGAGCGGGCAGTACAGGGCGACAACGTCCTCTGCTGCCCGCGGATAAACGGAGAAGGAAGTGACGCGCCACCATCAGCGTCAGCCTGAAGAAGCCGGCAGCCGGCGGCGAAACTGTAGCTACTAACAGGTAAACAAAACTGTTTCTGTGTTTAAAAAAGAACGAAAGCATGGAATTAGAACCACGACACAGTAAGAACACACCTAAGAAGACCGGTACAACGCCCGCATCACTGCAGATGCAGCACCAATCCACCTATCGATCTCACGCTCCAGTTTTCCCTCACTCGTGAACAAGACCTCGAGATAAACTCCTCCACTTGGGGCAGGACCTCATCCCTGACCCGGAGAAGGCATTCTACCCTTTTCCGAATCAAGACCATGGTCTCAAATTTAGAGGAGCTGATTCTCATCCCAGCTCCTTCACACTCGGCTGCGAACTGCTCCAGCGAAAGCTGAAGATCACGTTCTGATGAAGCCAACAGGACCACATCATCTGCAAAAAGCAGAGACCTGATCCTCAGGCCACCAAAACGGATGCCCTCCACACCTTGGCTGCGCCTAGAAATCCTGTCCATAAAGGTGATGAACAGAATCGGTGACTAAAGGGCAGCCTTGGCGGAGTCCAATTCTCACTGGGAACGAGCCCGACTTACTGCCGGCAATGCGGACCAAGCTCTGACACCGGTCATACAGATTATAATTTTAGGGTT